AAAAAAAAAAAAAACCTGTCCCTTTTGTTAACATTTTTTGTAGACAAGATGGATCCTAGTAAGCATTGCCTTTAGTTAAGATTATAGAAACGGTATTAAGGTTTGAGAGAAAAAAGAAGAGGCAAGAAGGAAAGAGACAAAGAAAGAAAATAATATGTTGTGAAGACAATGTTGCCATACACTTTCTTATTTCTAGTAAATTGACATTATGAGCAATTAAATTATTACCCTACACTATTAATAATCTAAAATAAGAACTCTAATACTCCTCCTCAATCTGGAGCATACAGATCAAAGATGTCTAACTTAGAGAACAAAGATTATTGAAAATAGATCGAACCAAATGGTTTGGTAAGGATGTCACAAACTGATCACTACACTTGATATATGGTGTGATAGTCTTGTTATGCATCAAGAGATCTCGTAAAATGACAATTCAGTTCAATGTGATTAGTCATTTTGTAGAATACCAAATTGCTTGCAATGAAAATAGTTGCTTGGTTATCACAATGTATCTCTATAGGAGAGAGCACATTGATATCCATATCACGAAGTAGTAAAAGAACCCACAACATCTCACATGTAGTATGAGTTATGGCCCAATATTAGTCTCTGCATTCGAACGAGCAACCATATTCTCTTTTTTGCTACACCAATTAATAAGATTATCACAAATAAATATACAATAACCTAAAGTAGATTACCTATTGGTACGACTACTTACCCAGTCAGCATTAGAAAATCTAATAATAATCATAGAGGATGACAGATGATATAATAATCCTTTACTTGGTGCTCTTTTCATATACTGAAAAATATGACAAATGGCCTCCTAATGAGGCTTACGAGGTGCATGTATGAACTGGCTCATTGCACCAATAGCATAAGTAATATTAGGGCATGTAACTATAAGGTAAATTAGCTAACCAATCAACCTTTGATAACACCCTACATCATCAAACACTTTACTATCAGCATCCAACTTAACAGTAGAGTCCATGTGAGTGTCAACTGGATGTGCACCAAAAGTAATAGTTTTTAACAATAAATCCAATACATATTTCTGTCGACACAAGCTGATACCTGCTTTTAACTGAGCAACTTAAATTCCAAAAAATTACGGAAGAAGACTGGAAAAAACTTTGTTAAAAACTCTTTTTGCATTTGATCCCAAGTAGAAATTGTCCGAGATTTGAGTGAATTTAGCCAAGCCTTTGCCTTGTCTTTAAGTGAGAGAGGAAATAATGTCATATGGGCCATCTCTTCTCATTTGTTTTGTTTTAGGAATGTACTAACTACTTCCTCAAACTCCTTAAAGTGGTGATAGCAATTTTCACTTGCGACACCATGAAATTGAGGGAGTAATTGGAGCATCCTTAGTTTGACAATTAAATTGATATGATTGCACAGGAAGCACAACACATGATGGTGTGGAAGAACGGGTAGGTTGGAGATAATCTTTCATAGTTCGACTAGGTAGAACTTCTAGAAGATTATTCCCAGCATTTCCCAAGTTAAGTGCATTATTTGAATTATTATTCCCCTAATTAGTAGGGTTAGCATTATGTTTCCGTCAGCCATATCCAAGAAAGGTCTTTGGTAAAATCTAACAAGTCTAATATTTTGGTCCGATCTCCACATGCAAAACCAAAAACTCTAAAAATAAGAAAACAACAAAAAGTAAGAAATTAAATACATCAAAGGTACGCACCTGACCTCGTGATGAAAATCACAAGACCTACTTGTGTACCTTTGATTCACCTTTGATTAACGCTCGAAGTCCTCGAGAATGGTGCCAAAAATACTTGCCCTCAAATGGGTAGATTTTCACGTAGCTCCCAAGTGTAAGAGAAATTATTGTGTAGTAACTTAGAACAAAATTTCAAGGTCGTCTCCTCGGGAAAATCTTTGGTAACCAAAGAAGATTAAAGAAAATAAAAGTAAAAAATTCTTTGAAGATGAGAATTTTTGGTAGCTAACTAAACTAAGAGAAAATTCAATTAAGAGAATGAATCGGATAATTTTCAGATTTCATCCCATCTATGAACATAAATTTATACTCTAAATCTATAATTCATCCAAGTTCGTAATTAAACTCCCTCAGACAGATAATATTCAGTAAAAATCTTAATTAGTAAAAATAGTGATTTTGATGACAAATATATTGATAGACCCAAATGAATCTTAAAATGGGCAATACCATTTGAGTTATCACCGGTATGAGAATGTCATTAACATACACAATAAGAATAATAACGCCTAGGCCTCACCAAAAAGCCCAAAGCCCAAAGCCCAATGGGCCGCCCATGGCCTGGAATCCCAACGAGCTAATGGACTGCCCGGCCTGTACACATGGCAGGGCTTGGGTAGCCCCGTTAGTCGGGTGGGTAGGGCCTGGTCCTTGTTTTTTAGGGCCGGGGTTCGACGGATCGGCCCATTAGAAATCATTAAGAAGTCCGTTGGCTAGCCCATTAGCTCGCCAGTTAGCCCAATAGAATATACCTATTGGAAGATAATTTAGATTATATTTCATAATTATATTGCATATTTGATTTGTAACTTTTATAAGGTGCGAGACTTTTAAATAATTGACAATAGTGTAGGTGTCAATCTAGTTGGGATATACTCAATTTGTAGTGATGCAAAATAGTTTCACCCATCATTCAATATGAATAAGTTTTTTATTAATTTATATTTTTATACCAATTTTATGTAATTGATGTTTTTTTGTAATTGTTATATAAAAAATAAAATTTTTGATATCTTTTTGTATTTTTTTACATTAAAACTAATTTTTTAATAAAAAACCCATTTTAGGCTTAATGGGCGGGCCATAAGGCTGGGCCCATATTTAGCCCGTTTTGGGCCCAATAGGCTAGGCCATGTGCCCATTAAAAATTCATAACGGGCGGGCCCAGCTTAGTCCATTGACTAGTCAAAGCCTAGAGGCCTGACCTACAGGCGGGCTGTGGGTTGAAAAATCCCTGGGCTGGATTGGCCCTTTGTCGAGGCCTTATAACACCCGTGGAAGAATGACGAATGAAAACTAAATGATCTAAAGTAGAACGCTGAAAATCATATTGAAGAACAACAGTGCCTATCAAATCAAATACATGGTGATTGCTTTAGACCGTATAGTGCTTTCTTTAGACGACACACTAACTATTTCTTATTTGATACAACATAACCTGGTGGTTGTACCATATATATATCCTCTTGCGGGTCTCCATGTAAAAAGACATTTTGGATGTCCAGCTGATATAGAGGCCAATCACAACTCATGGTAGTCGAAATAAGAAATCTAGTAGAGTTAAGACGAGTAATATGAGAAAAAGTCTCATAATAATCTACACTATATGTCAGGGTATAGCCTTGGGTAACCAGATGAGTTTGTTGAATCATCAAGATGATACTTCCCAGTGTAGAGCCACGACAACCGACTGGTTGTTTACCCGAAGGAAGAAAAGTAAGGTCCCATGTATGATTCTCATTAAGGGTTTTCATTTTCTTCTCCATAGCCAATTTCAACCAATTGACGTCAATGTCTGTTGCAAAAAACTGGGAACAAATATTGAAGATAGATTCGATGCAAAAAAATGAAAGGATGGTGAAAGTTGAAGACAAACAAAATTATAAATGGTATCTTTATGCAATTATGGGTATTTTTCCTCAATGCAATAAGCAAATAAGAAGATGATGCAAGGGAGGAGGAGGACTCGGGGCGGAAGAAGATACAAAGTTTGGCATAATACCCAACAAGGACTCCCCTTGACTTGGAAAGACTAAATTTGACATAGAAAAAAAGGAAGATGACCAAAAAAGACGACATCAACAATTACATAGTATCGACGAGAAATATGGTCATAATAGTGATAACCTTTCTTAGTACGAGAATATCCCAAAAAGACATTTAATTGAACGAGGTAAAAATTTATCCCTATATAAACCAAGGAGATGAACAAATACAACATAACCAAAGACACAAGGAGTGAGACCAAATGGTGGTTTATCTAAAGTAATGAGAAAAGAGATTTGTTGTTCAAAATGGGTGGAGACATGCGATTAATTAGATAAACTGTAGTAAGAACAACATCAACCCAATATGATTCTGTAACATGCATATTAAACATCAAGGTGCGGGCAACACAAGTCTGATGTACTAGTGAGCCCAAGGTATTAGCAGAGGCTTGAGTAGCACATGCTGGTCGCCTATACTTACCCCAAAAAACATGCTTAGTATGTCTTATGCTGCCACAAGAAGTACACTTCCATACACAACGAGAACCATGACCAAACTGACCACCATGTCTACCATGGCCAGTAGCTTGACCACCACGAATGGCACTGTAGGGTAGACCACATCTGCCACCACGATTATTACCATAACCACCATTCAAGTTGTCCATTAGGAAAACCCACGATCAACTATGCTACTATAGGACCAATAGACTACAAACAATCCTCAATTACACAAACAACAAGAGGCCAAGGAATTTGCCCCAACAGTCCAAATGAACTTCAATATACAAAACACAACAACACCACACAACCGGACCACAAAAACACCACAAAACACAACAATCCAGAGGCTAAGAAGCAGCTAGAGTACACAGGCCAGACTAAAACAATGCTGGATGAACAGATCTAGAGTGGATCTAGTGCAAACTAGATTAGATCAACACACCTAAGCCAAATCTGGAGCAGGGCAAACATACCCAAGCCAAAAAAGATGCCAATCACACAAAGTGGGAGCCAATCTAGCACAATTGAACGCCAAACAGCGGCCAAACAGTGCAGTCGACACTAAACGGCTTAGAAAACACCTCCAAACGAGCCAATTAGGGCTGGGCAGCTTCGGAAGCTACCCCTTAGTCCAAATTGGCACCCATAGTACTAGATCCAAGGAACAATCCAACCAAAAAAGTCTCAAAACAGAAGACCTATAAATTATCCCTTATTTTTTTCAAAAATTGGAAAACCAACTTAGATGGCTTCAAAAAAATACACAAAAATCACCATAATACTCTTCACAGAAAACTGGTGACGGAGGTAGGTTTCGATGTCTAGAAGTTGCTAATTTCAGCCACTGACGAATGACATCAGCAACTGTGAAGATCCTGAAAAACGTTGTCCAATGTTTTTCAATGTTGTATAATGTTGAATTGATGCTTTGATACCAAGTTAAGATTATAGAAACGGTATTAGGGTTTGAGAGAAAAGAGAAAAGAAAAGAGGCAAGAAGGAAAGAGACGAAGAAAAGACAATAATCTGTTGTGTAAGCAATGTTATCCTACACTCTCTTATTTATAATAAATTGACATTATGAGCAATTACATTATTACCTTACACTACTAATAATCTGAAATAAGAACTCTTAACACCTTCTTTGCCTTTTATGTTATGATTTTTTTTGTTTAGTATTGTCTATTCTATCCCCAAGCATTATTAAATATTGGTTGACTTTTTCTTTACTTGGTGATCTAGGGGTATATTGGTGATTGCAACACCTTATGCTAGTGGATTTGATCACTTCTTCATTGCAGATGAAGTGCAGTTTAAATTTGATAGGTGTCTTCGCGTTCTACAGGAAACAGTGAGTTTATAGTTGGTTCACATAACTTCTTTTCTTATGCAAGTCATGTTTTTCATACAAGTTGCCTAATTACAAAGGTACAAGATCTTCCAACTTTTGGCATTGGGCACTCTCTGGGATCTGTCATTCACCTCTTGATCGGTATTTTACAAGATCACTTTCTTTTAAATATCTTGAAGAGGTGTAACAGGTTTAACTTGCACCACTTCGTTAAAATGCTGATGTTATTGTTGATCAGGCTCTAGGTATGCTGTTCAAAGAAATGGGAATATATTGATGGCATTCAACAACAAGGTACTTAGACTGCCTAATTTCTGATTTTTCCGTGGCTATACTGGTAGAAATCACCTTGAAGTTTCAATAAAAAAGTTGGCGTAACAATGGTGGAAATTTAACTGCAGGATTTAGGAAGATGCATGTGAGAGGTGGTGATATTACTGGTTTATCTAGGAAATCATGTTAAAGGATGATGAAAATAAGTAGAAACATGAAGCCAGGATGAGAATATTTTACTTTAGGCACCTGCCCTTGAGGGTGAAGAGGGAAGGAACACAATAACCACACATCTACAGCACAAAGCTACTGAAGAGGCTAGAGAATGTTTGACAATGTGCCAATTTTGTTTATTCCTATCAAGACGTGTTAGATAATAACTTTCCCATAAAAGTCATTATTAAATGAGCCTCATCAATGTGTATCAAGCTTTTACATACATAATTATGCGTTGCAAGGCACCCTCACTGCACTTATGGATTCATAGATCTAGTTAACTCTCCCTATTTTTTATTCATTTAAGCATTGAAAAAGAAAAATTACTTATTGCTTGCTAAATTTTCAGGAAGCCAGCCTGGCCATCCCATTGTTCTCACCTGTTCTTGTCCCTATGGCCCAAAGCATTGGACCATTTCTAGCACAGATCACATCATCACCAACCATCCGTCTTGGGGTGAGATTCTAAAATACCAACTATTATGATGCTTTACTTCTGTCTAAGAATGTTACTGTAAGTATGCATTTTCATTGACAAATATTGTTGTTTTTGTAGTTGTTTTCATAAGTAGACCTCTGCTTATGAACCAGATTTAATTTATTGTTCTAACGTTGTATGCTTTACATATAGCTGCCTGTTAAATACAGAACATATAAGAGGACTGTACGAGGTGTATTAATAATAATATGCCCCTTTCCCAAAAAAAGTATGTAAATAAATCCATTTGTCTTCTGCAGCAATTGGGGTTTAAAGTTATACATTTCCTTTGCACTGAATTTTGTCATTACCTTTTGATTCTGGACTATTCATGTTGAGATAGCTACTTAATAACATCTGATGCCTTACACTATGTTTGATAGAGAGAGGAGAGATGGAAGAAAAGAATAGGGCAAAGGGAAAAGAAAGGCAAGGAGATCATCAATCGTCTGATTGAAAGGAAATGTGGGTGGAGAATCTCTCCCTCTAGGCACGTCATTGTTGGAACAGATATCTCAAGAATCATTGACAGCACGTATGAATCGAATACAAAAAATTTTCTTTTAAAACCCTACAAGGCAGAATTAAGGTTTACCTTTGAGATCGCTCTAGATTGATTTCGTCTCAGTATGAACGCAGAAACTAAAGACAGATGCAGAAAGCTACTTGTTGAACCTCACGATCTTCTGTCGTATATTCCCCAACGTTAAAAATCTGAATTCAGTGTGGGCTGTAAGAACCTCTGAATTTCTGCTCTCTCTCTCAGCCTCTCTCAAAACGTGAGTAATGAATTAATACTGATTTAAAGAGTCTAGACATCTATATATAGGCTACGACAGAAATCCTAAGGAAAAAAAAGAGTCGGACTTCCAATGGGTCTAGGATTCCTATGTTCAACGCAGAACAAATATCCTACATTCTATTAATAATAAGTTAGTTCACTAAAAACTCATTATTGATCTCTTGAACTTTTTCTCAAAATTATGTTTCAATCTCCTTATTATTATATGCTTAATAATCTCCCTACGTTTAAGATCATAGATGTCCATCAATTAAATAAATTACTGACAGTAATATTTAATTGACATCTTTTATTCTTTGAGACCTTATCACTCAATTTATTTGTCATGTTGAATAATTAAATTCACTTACAGGGTTTGATATGGACAAAACTTATGAGTTTTTTCAAGAGGACATCAACAATTCATTTAAATATTAGGACGTGGTTTTTTTTAATAATTAATTTTTATTATACAAATAATATCGTCTCCCAATTCACCGAGGTTATTGATCCAATATGAATCTCACTTGTTGATGAATTAAAATGACACATTCTATACACGTGGCAATTAAATATTTCAGGATTAAAAGTATAAGCAATCATAATAATTACGAGATATTTTTTATCTTATTCAATCAGTAAAAGATAATACTCTCAACATGGGTCTGTTCAATACAAAGTGTATTAGTGCAATAATCTGAGGTATCAAACAGTCTTCTAAAGTCAAGACAGATTATGCCAAAATATTACACGACAATCATACTGATGGTGTGTCAAATTTTATGTAAGGTTGTGAACCTATACTAATATTATACAAGGATTCGATAATCTAGTTTTTTGTGTATAAGTTAAACTCTACACACCAGATTATCTATAATGTAAAATATAAGACACACATGCATACCATAATGGAAATAGTTTGCCCATATAGATTCTCAATAACTTGAAAAAACAAATAAACTCTAATTAATTAATAAAACGAGTTTCACTATAAAAAGTAAGCTTTTAGTATACAACTATATCAGTTATAACCTATTTGTCTGATGGTAGAATTTCAAGGCTAAGGGACATTGTCTTTCAGTTGGTAGGGATCATCATTCCTATAGTTATATTTGGGTTTGAGACTGTCCGCCTCCTTCCCAAAACGATGTAAAATTGATGTTCTTAGAATCACTAACAAAGTAATTGTAAAACTCGAGAAAATTTGAATTTTTATGATAAAGGGCAAAACGATAATTAGTCGTTACAGTATGGGTTGAAAATTTAATTTTTTTTAGAACTTGAATGATGAAACGGACCTCACCGTTGGATTTGTTTCGCAAAATCTAGTTACCTAGTCAATTTTTGTTAAATTTTGAGACAACCAATTTTTTTACGTTTTACAGTGTGATCTGGTGTTGCGCGATTAAAATAAACGCGATTGAATTTTAATTTAGAAACGCAAAAAATAATTTAAATTTGATTTAAATAAAATGTGTTGAACATGACATGAGACGAGATTTAATTGATTCGGGACAAAATTGGATTAGAAAAAGACAGGATGTGTGGCGCAGCAAGGGCCAAGTATGAAGGGGTGGTATAAATAGGGGAGAAAATCTGATTTTCTCCCCATTTTACACCAGAATTTTCTGGGGAGAGGAAGAAGAGAGAAATGAGAGTTTCTTCCATCTTCTTGCGATCTAAGGCCAACTGTTCGTCAGATTGCTTCGGGCTAAGAATAAAAGTTATTCTACGCGACGAGAGCTACTACTACGTACCAAAAATCGCAGGTTTCACCCAAGTCTCAAGAACTGGATTTTTGGAATTCAAGGTTTAAAGCTAGAATTGGGTATTTTGCAGCTTCAAGAGGTAGGGTTTTACTCCTAGGTAGGTTTATTTCCAATCTAGGGTTTGTGTATGAAATAGGTAGCTTGATTAGAGATGCAATCTCTTGTTTTAATATACTCATAGCGTAACTAGAGTATGAGAAATGGTATAAGAATGCATAAAACTAATTTTACATGAATTGAGTTTGTTAAGGATTGCTTATTGGGTGATTTCATGAGAATGTGATAATTGGACATGATTATATCTTTACATGATTTTGTGCCTTTTAGGTGTTTGATAAAATGTCTATAATTGATTAAGTATATTATTTGAATGAAATTGATATAATATGCTTTGTGATGATGTTAGAATGTAATTATATGTTTGATGATATAAGTTACATTGAGGATTTGAAGTTGTTTACAATGTGTTCATGACATGTTGAACATGATGTTGAAATTGTAATTAAAAACTTGGTTGTATAGCGATATGACATATAATTGTTCATTACATTGCATATGTATGGGTAGCATCACTTTCGTGGGCATTTGACATGAGTGTGAGTGTGTGTGCATATTTTTGGATCAAACACCATTCTTGGTGGTTGGGGCATGGACTCAGGTAGGTTGGACCTAGGTCCGACTGAGTTGTACGGATTGCATAGAAAATTTGTGTCATGCATAGTAAGAAGAGTTAGACTCTCTTTCAGGTGCAAGATCTGGTTACTGGGTTATACACTTCCGACAGTGAAAGGCCAAAAAAGTGTATTGGTGTGAGTGGAACCAGAGGTGGGATACCAAAATTCGTGTCGGTGTGGTGGACTGATGGTGCGAGTCCAGGAAATCTCTTACCCAACAAAGGCACATGGTGTATTTTATAAAATAGTCATTAGATGTGTAACATCAATAGTGGGAGCTTGGAATTTTCGGATACATATGCATGACATTGCATGGGTTATGGGAGCCGGTGAAGGCTTGGATTGTATTGCATGTGTGAGTCTCACCTCATAATATGACATAGTATTGTGACATTCATTTCTTGAAGTTGTATGTTCTTGGATGAATGCTTGTTTGATTGTTGAATGACAAGTGAACATTTCATATGATTTGGGGTAGGAGGTAGCCTCTTTAGGAGATATTCTATTGAGAGTGACTCACCCTTTATGGGAACAATATTTCAGATGCAGGACAAGCGCCGGTGGACAGTTCTTACTTGGGCTCTTGTTAATGAAGAAAGTCGAGTTATGACTTTAAATTATATTTTTATAAAACAATTGTGTAATTGATTTTGGACTTGTAATGTTGTATAAATGATTGTATAATGAACTCATATAAATTATATTTTGTGTAAAATTAGATGCTATATGAGTTTGGGTAAATGTTGTATGAGATTGGGTGAGTTGAAATTGAAAAGAGATTGACTTGGGAAAAAATTGGGCCTTGCTACTGGTAGCATGTAGATTAGCTATCAGTAGCACGATTCCAATGGGCTTAGGTAGTAGTAGTAAGTCTTGAAGTACAGGTAGCTCGCTGGTAGTGGGCAACTACTGATAACTAAGTTCACAACTACCTGTAGCTTACTGGCAGAGGGCTCAGCTACCAGCACCAAGTACACAAGCTACAGGTAGCTCCTCAAAAATTTTCAAAAATTTGAAATAATTTTGTCAAACCTTCGGGTTTTGAGTCCTTTTGTGCAAAAGATGTAAATGGAGTAATATTGGATGGCAAATTGATAGATATTAGACCTTGGAATGGTTGTATGATG